GCGTATTAAAAGCTTGGGCTCCAACATCAGTATTGTCTTCTGTTCCAGTGCCTGCATTGCTGCCTCGATTCCCAGTCCCATGACTGGTGATCCCATCGGGGTGCCCGTTATTCGCTTGTAGGTTTGACCATTGAGGGCGCAGTGTGTGATTAGACAAAAATCAAGCAATCCCATCATTTGTGTGACGTCAGTTATGTTGTTTGTATTTGGTGCCCCTTGCTGTTCCAGCAGCATCATCAATGTTTGCCTTACCCGATTGTTGCCAAAGGATGCGAACAAAGCTATAACAAAATCAAGACCATTGTTCCATCTCTTTCCAGTGTTATTCCATTGAGTTTACCAAGGAATTGTTTTGTTGATAGGATTGAATGTTCTGAGGCTGAAGATAGGTGTTTCCATCATTTCCAGTGTCTGTAGAAAGCTTGTACTTCAGTGCCCCGGGTAATGACACCATGGAGCGAAACGGTACTACATTTTTGTGTACTTTGGGTGGGTCATAGAACCGTCGTTTTATTGACCTCTGCAACTGAAGCTCCCAGCTCAGAAAACAAAACAATACTCTCAGCTGCACTCCGAGGTACAGGTTTACTCAATTATTTCCAAACATTTCGGACACGATACACTCAAATCCGCTCGCCGATAGGAGACCATAGCAAGTCGGCTATCCTTCAACCACGAACAACTGTACCTTCTGCATGAAGGCGAAGACAAGTCTTACCACCAAGTACACATTACCGTCGCATAATCAAAAATCCTTCGGCCCAGAAGATTACCGAACAACATAGACGATGAATGCTACACCTACTGATCACAGATGTCCACGATCAATGGCAAAAGTCACAAAGAATAATCCATCAACAAAAAATGTCATGCTTATCAGCCTCTAAACAAGCTGGGCAGAATGCTTGAGAATGCACAAGGAAAAGACTAAAATGGGAGCTGGACAAATTCTCGTAACATATAATAGCAAAAGCAGAAGATGATTGGATTAAAAATCTATCCAAATGAATCCTATCAAATACACAAATAACAGTTATTGTGCATGGTCTGCAAGTCAAGTATAAAGATTACAATTCCATTGATTTTAGTGCCACACTTGAATCAACGCTGGCCGCAGTCCACATGGCAGCCGAAGCTCAACTTACAAATAGGCGCTGTCACAAAGTGGAAACCAAGATTTTCAGCGTAATCGAATAAAAGCTGTTGACGAAACTGGACTGCGGAAGTTATGCGCTTTGTTGTCCTCATATTGGTAAAATCTCGCTTACATGGTAGCTCGATGTAGATCTTCTCTACAGACACTGTCGAAACTTTCTGTCCCGGCACCCTCGCCTGACTATGTTTGTCGATGAATCTACTTGGATAGCGAAAACCGACTTGGTCAGGACAGTACCTGCACTTTACCAGCTTCTCCGCAGTGCGATACAAGCGGACCTTAGTCAAGACGCTATTCAACGGTGCAAGAAAAATATGCACTACCGACAGTTTAGATGATGAGATAAACTCGCTCAAAAATCCGCTGTTGAAAAATGGCTATCGTTTTATGGCTGTCATCTTATATATTTTCATGTTATTGTGTTGGCACTGAAGACACCGTAGGAAAAGTTGACATCTGCCAGTGTTCGTCTTCTTACGGTTTCATTCAAATTACTAAAGGGATCTAACTGTTGCAAAATTCAAATGGTACCTAGCGCGATAGAACTAATAAGAGACTGAAATCATTCAGTGGATTGCGTACGCCGCAACTTCTATAGTCAAGGCATCTGTCCATAATATGTGGTCATTCACCAAAAGAACAGAAAGCCGAAAGTTCACATGTCACAACAGATAGTCTGTTGGAGGCTTGCAAAAAGGTAAAGGTGAAAGTGCAGATCAGAGTTTTGTCAAAGAGAATCATTCCATTTAACCATGATGAAATTAGCAACACCGTCGTATTTGGCAACGACGCACGTCTAGGTTTCCGGGTTCTGATTTTCTGATCTTTATGTGAGTTCCAGGCATAAGGATGCTTTAGGGTCTTGAGACGATTAGATTTATTTTCCTTCTCACTGGTTTTGGAAGATAAAAAATGAGTTATTCTACTGTAACTGTATTAACTTAAGGATGGGTCACACACACAAGGTGTGACCGCTGGTGCTACGCTGTTTCAGAAACATTTCCGCCAGATTGAATGGTGAACCATCTATGGCAGATTTTGTAGGGGCTGACATTGGAGTAAAAATACTACTATTGCACACCCTTTTTTCTGTACCCTTTAACCCTATGGCATTAAGAACAAGCACTTCATGAACCTGGAAAGGGTATGGTCAAGCATAAGTCCTCCATGTTCGATCTGTCTATCTACCACTCCCTACCTTTCCCTGTAATATCCCCTTTTGTAGAACTGGCACAACCTTCTCTTATCAGTTGGTTGTCCTTAAATTCCTGATTAGATACCGGCTTCTCGTTAGACGAATTCGCGTCGGTGGCTGAGCTTTGCAGTGTGCTCTCTCGCGCCATTACTCGAAAAACACGGGGTTGGTATATATGAGGGGTGAGCGGTTACACACGAGTCGCTCTAATTTTATGTGCTCACTTCATCATAGTGTTCTCTTTGCCTTCCAGTTGACTTCCAGTTCCTTGCATCTTGATGTGTACTTCTTAACTCTTAACGCATCATTCGAATTCGCCCACAGTTTAGTCGTACTTGGAATCCGGTATCCCGGTTCGATACTCCTCAGTCATATAGCATATTGCGAAAACTGATAAAGGGCGAGATTCCCATTAATTTTCGCAGAAGATTCATCCCATTCAGAAATCAGTCAGACAGGCGCTGTACCTTTGGGAAAGCAATGGGTAGCCGCTTTGTTCTCATTTCATACTGAATACTGAATACTGAGAAAATGTAGCGAGTAGAGTTGCCTCTGTGTAGCTACATCTAATATCTTTTACCCAAACCTGTCTGTTATTATGGTGATTGCTCTCAAGTCGGCAAAGTGTAAGTCCAGGAGTTTCTTAAATAGGTACCGACTTTGCTTCAACTATGTCTGCAGGCAGGTTGTTCCAAATATTCACCACCCTCCGCTCGGAGCAGAGTCCGTGAGCGACCCGCTTCAAATCCGATACGACAAGCTTGTATCGGTGTCCTCGTGTGCAGATGAAGCAGAGGCCTCAACATGGGCAATCACCCAGATATAATATCCGGTGCGCCGTGATGCGGTCGACCCGCATTCGACGATAAGGCAGAGTGTACAACCCTAGTCTCTTGCACCGGTCTTCATTTTGCACACCTCATAAACCGCTGATTAGCCTTGTGGCAACCAGCTGTACCCGCTCAATCATTTGCGCTTCGCCCCGAGTGACCGAACAGCAGACGGGTGAGCTGTACGCTAGCATTGAGCTGACGATGGAAGAGAAGAGGCGGGTGGCAACCTATTCGGACCAAGTGAGGAAGTTGCGTTTGAGAGCCCAGATCATGCGTTGTCCTTTTTGGTAAAGCCTGTTAGTGTTTTCAGCGGATTTCAAATCCCAGCGTGAAATTACGCCGAGATCTTTCATGGATGGCGATGGGTGTAACTGTTAACCGGCCAGATTGTAGACACGGCCATTACCACTCTTGCCCAGGCTCATGAATACCGATTTCACCGGGTTGGTTGGAAGGCTGACCTTTACTGACCACATAGAGAAGTGGTCAAGGTCACGCTGAAGCAGGTCGCAGTCGTCGAGCGCCTCAATTACCCTCCATAATTTAGGGTCATCTGCAAACAACGCACAAGGTAAACTGAAAAGCTAAGGCAAATCGTTGGTGTGGATCAGGAATAAAATGGGCCCAAGGAATGTGTCCTGCGGAATGCCACTGGTCGAGGGATACCATTCGGTCAAGTGGTTGTCCACCTGCACCCTCCACGAAGACCCTGATCCACTGACGCAGTGAGCCACTAACACCACATATCTTAAGCTTCCGTAGGAGGAACTCTTAATTCGCCTTGTCAAACGCTTCACTAAAGTCGATGTAAATGGCGTCCAACGACTTCCCTTGATTTAGGTCTTGTAACCATTCGTTCCTCGAGAGCAGCAGATTCGTGATGCATGACCGACTTTCATGAAACCGTGCTGCGCTGGAGTCAATATACTTTTCGACTCGAGATGCTGCAGAAGTTGGGCCCAATGCCTGTGCCCCACTGGTCGCAATCGTCCGCTTATAAGTCAAGTCGATGGCTATGGTATTACAAGAGCCAGATGGAATGCACATCCAGGAGGATTTCGAAAAAGATGAGTTGGCTATACACTGCTTTTCCGGGGAGGTGACGAATCTGTCGGAAAAGAGAGCAGCACCCACACCCAGTAAGTAGATCCACTCCGTACCCTGATCGTATGCGGCTGCCGTAACCATTATGAACTCTGGTAATTACTTTCAACCCCTAACTTTCTTCATGAACCGAAACTCTGAAGCTCCTGCCACAACTGTACATTCCTTGAGAATTTGAATGCCTAGACACTTGATGGAAATGTAGAGAAATCGTTGTGACCGAACCCTTGTCAATTCGCTCTTTTAAACACCCAGCTATCACTTTAACGATTTCATCTCGAAACTCGAGTGGGCACACTTTGCGCAGACTTTGGCGCACACTTGTAATTGTCTGCACATGTAAACTATTTTAGGTGAATTTTGCACGTAGTACAAGGTGTTATTCACTACTTACTGGGGTATTACTTCAAAATACACCTATGAAACAAAGTAGAAAAATTATCTATATGAGTTTTTATTATTAGGAAAAATATTATCCAGTTATTTATCTAGCAAGTGTTCATTTATCAACCGGTACTGATCACGTCACATTTGCTCATTTTCAATGCGATAATGTATCTTGAGCGTATTCCTTTTTAAAAATATACCTCCCTTACAAATAAAGCCTCTATAAAAATAAATCTATTAAGTTTTTTCCTCACCGCCGCACAGTCTAAAAAACTAATGGCAACAGTTATAAAAGCGCTACAAAAAGGAAGCTTGTATGACTTACGCCAGCCGATTGCCCTGGTCCATACAAGGTATGCCTGTCCGGATTAATCTGAAATATGCAAAAACGTTATAGCGTTTCAACCAACGTGGCTAACTTGTATGGTATTGGTATTGGGTTGCCAACTGGTTATATTATAAAACTGTGATGAGCTGACTACCTTATAAAATATAAGACGACCAACCGAGACTTACAAATATTCTAGGTGTCATTCCTTTTTTTGCCGAGACTCGGAAGTCGACGAACAGTGGTACATGGAGCGTGTTTTGCAAATTTGTGACTGCCTTCATCCATGACCAATTTGCAGTAAGTGGTAATCCGTTGGTAATCTCATTGCTCCAAAACATCCGAGTAGGCCACGACGCAGTGCTATTCTCGTCTCCAACACCTGTCTCGTTCGAGGCGGAACGATCTAAGAGCCAAATGCCACCGAGCGCAGGAACAGCGTTCCGCATAAACGTCCGCACGCTGAACCAGTTGCGGAAACTCTTGTCGGTACATGAGAAAAACCATTTGGCTATTTTGTATTTGGCTGAATTAGTTTTGGACCACTGGTTTTCATATACATTAGTTAGTCCTTGAATGACAGCATTAATATTGATCTCGGTCAAATGATCAATGGCTGGTCGGTGAATTCGGATGAGTGTATTCCACTTTTCTTGATTCAAATGCATGACGATGCCTTCGTCATATCGTCGTCTGTACGCGTCTGCTCCTTGAGCGCTTGGTGTATCTGGCTTCACAGATGGGTGATGTGGATGAAAGTGTTCACCACAAGCGTACTGATAGAAATTCTCACATGGAGACATAGATTTGTTCATTTTAGAATGAAGTTGTCCTGCCGCTATCAGACACAGGGGTGATACACACTGGTGCTGTCTGATCCATTGTTCCCGACGCAGCGAATACCATTGTACAGTGGCGAGAATCAAAAGAGACAGTAACAGAAGTATGCAAATAATCACAAAACAAATTTGGCCCCCGGTGCAACGGCGACATATCTCACTTCCCCGATCTTTAATCGTAGTACTCTTTACTTTGAGTAGGGTCCGACGAATCGCCTCGCCAGCGATTCGCATCGAGGAATGAATTGTGGTAATTTTGGCCACAGGAGGTTTCGTCTCCGTGGTTCTACTAAACACACGATATGAGAAGTTTGGCGGACGACGGCGGTCGTCATCCCCAGTGTTCTCCTCGACTTCATCAACTATTGCTATTTTTATCTCCGTGTCCCCTTCTGACTCCAATGAGGAACTCTTCTTCAGAATAAACTCGTTGTCTTTCATGGTTTCAGCTCTGAAAAGCAGCGGAATGCTGTCGCCGCAAGTTGAGTTTCAGTCGCAACTGGCAGACTTCCACTTGACACGCTCTTATTCAATGCATTCTCGCGGTTTACACAATCACACACAAAACCGTTCAGTGTAGTGATTTGCACACCGTACGCGTTCACATGAATTTCATCCAGGGTGACCTCACATTAACATACTACCTTATGTAGCCAAAGCGTAACAGATCGTTTGGTAAATCAGCAATGTCGAGATATGAACACTGGGTGATAAAGGTTTGCGTGCAGAAGGCGAGTACAGTAGGTCTGAAAGTGCCTTCCATGTCTCTGGCGTAGATGGATTAGAGACATGCCGCGCGACAAATCAGATTCACCCCCTGCATGGTGACACATTAGCATAATCGGTAGGTAACTTGTCATCACCTTCGCCGTGTGGACACACTGATTGTACGCTTCTTGTTGTCATTGTTTTGCTTTCGCCTTCCGTTCGAAGTAGGCGAAAGCAGGCAACAACTGCAATCAGACCATGAGTCTCCTAATAGCTGAGGCCCAGTGGAGACTAGTGACACCATTCTGCTGAGAAACCTGGAACAGAAAATGGAGAGAAAAAAATAGTAACGCAGTGAGAATTGCAAAAAGTGCCGTCTAATTTACATGCATGTAGGCAAAAGTGAGTTAAAATGTGTACGTCATCTGGGCGCCAATCGACGTAACTGGCAGTTTGGAAAGCCAGCAGGTTGTTCTTGAATGAACTCAAAATTCCCACTGTCGAGACAGATCCGATGTTGCTTATCCACAAACCTTATAATTGATGGACAGTTTATTGAAGCGCAAAATTGTTGTACTCATGTAAATGCTGAGTGTTCTTGTAAAACCACAGGATAGTCAAAGATAAACAAATTCACTCTATGCCAGATCGTAGTGTAGGTGTGTCGACACGGGCCATCTGGATTCTGCTAAAAAGCAGACGTTGTTATTCAGCTGACAGCCACCTCACCCAGTGCGCCGTGGACATTGTAGTCTACTAACGTTGGTTCAGATGGTCATGAGATGTGAATGGAGATTCGTCATACGCACGCCTGTTTTTAGCACGTTTTTAGCACGTTACTGACCACCAGTATCGTCCTGGACAGCATTGTACATTTCTTCAAGCTCGGCGAGATTTCTGAAATGAGAGTTGCTTCTGAAGTTCATGGAGTTTACTGGCAGCCGACTTGCTTAATTGACTGTAACGTAGTTATACTGTAACGTGCCCACTTTGTCCTCTGTACGTCGGCAAGGCGCGAGTTAATTCAGAGTATAACATACTCCATAACATATTTATTCGTCTCGATCTGTGAACATTTGGTCAACGTCTCAAGCCTCCCACAGAGCACACTGAATGGCGTCCAGTTTAGACGTCAAAAGACCAACGCTATAGTCTACAAGTGTAACAGTTGATTACATTGTTCAAATCGTGTCGAATTCCCTTAGAATTAACTAGCTCTAATGTTATTCACTTTTGGTGTGGATGCACCTATATTTCTGTCAGTGGATGATATGTTTGTGATTATAAAGCGAGATATAAAGGGTGCGTTTTTAAATCATCTGAACTCCATTAATGGAAATACAAACTTTACTATGGAACTAGAATCTTGCAGTGGCACACTGCCATTCCTCGATTGCCTAGTTCACAGGAACGGTGGACGGATAAAGACGACGATATATCGCAAGCCGACAGATACGGACGGAGTGCTTCATTACAGTTCAGGTTATCCAAAATAAGTCTATGCCGCTATCGCATCCTCTCTGTTTCACAGAGCCCAGACTCTGTGTACAGAGGAGGAGGACAGGAAGGCCGCTCGTAAGGAGACGGTGAGCAAATTAGTTGACAGTGGATATCCGAGGCGGTTAGTGAAACGCCAATTGCAGAGAGCTCTAAATCCACCTCCGTGACGCACAACGGAGTGGATTTGGAACCTCGGAAGCAATCAGACGAGTACTAAACAAGTGGAAAATAAGAGTGGTTTTTCGAAAGGGTCAAACGCTCTATTCAGCACTTGTGCGTTTGAAGGATCCACTTCCAAGAGACAGGACGACAAATTGTGTTTATAAAATCAATTGCAAACACTGTGAACACGTGTATATAGGTCAAACAGCGAGAGAGCTACGCACGAGGATAGCAGAACACAAGAGGTACGTTTCGCGTCCACCGAGAAATGAGCCTGAATACAGGGCCCTACTAAAAGATTCAGCGGTGGCCGTACATGCGCTAGAGGCAGGCCACGCGATTGATTGGGACAATGTCGAGATACTTAGGAGGGGATTACCAGCAACAGGCCAAAGGTTGATTGCTGAGGCGATCGAGATTACTAAGACTAATAACTGTGTGAACAGAACAGAAGGGGTGGTTATCGAACGCGTGGCGGGCTGTGTTAACCCGGTCAGTCAGAAAAGGTGTCGGCGGATGAACTCAGGTCGGAGCGTGAATCAGCAGCTGCAAGAAAGGAATGCCTCACTTGTGAACGACCGGTGTCGTGGATCAATGAGAAACGCTCGATGCTTGTTGTTTCACTAGCATGGCCACTTGATCTATTGACCTGTAATACCATTATCCAATGGTTTATGTTATGTCTTTCAACTTTCAACTTACCTTCCCATAAAAAGCTAAGCCAATTTTGCAACGATTCACCTGGCCTGAAGAAGCTCTTGTGTCAAGGACGAAACGTTGCCACAATAAAACCCTACCGAAACTGATTTGTATTCAAACCTTCTGAAATCATGAAATCCCAGTCGGTTCCAAGCATATTCCGAGATATTGAAGTCATTTGATCTGTTTTTATATGTAAACTAGTTCTTTTGCTAGAGTTGCATTGACCCGATCCATTAACCATTTGAAGCGCTGAAAAGATTAGCAAATCTCAAATAACTAAACAAACTGATTGCTCCAAACTAAATTGCATGCAAAGCACAATTTTGCGAAGCGTACTCTTTTCGACAAATCTCTTCAGGCATTTACGATTGTAAAATGGAAAGCAGTACACAAAAGCTAATGAAGCCATAAAGGTGGGATCAAAGGTGGAATCACAACAAACAGAAACTCAAAAGTCTTGATCAATAAAGTCCACTAACAACACATGTGACAGAGAAATCTTACATTTTATATCAGTGTACTTGCGCCTGTGGTGCGAGGTACTTAGGACACACAATCAGGCGTCTGTCTAAATGCATTGCGGCGCATTGCCCAGCGGCTTTGCTGAAAGGCATCGTCAGTCGCCTCAACATTTCCATTCTGGAACATCTGGTGGAAAGCGGACACCGAATTAGGACCGCTGATGCCTTCCAAGTACTTTATGTAGTACAATCACGGTACACTAAAGGTCATAGGAAGCAAATCTTACGGGCCGCCAAAGCGATCGCGATTAGAGAAATTCAACCGGAATCATACAAGCAGAAGGCTTTGCTGCAAGGCTTCTTCTAACTTGGCCCTAGTTAGCTTACCAACTTTTATCACTCCTTGCGCCTACAGTGGTCGGATGATGCACTTGGCATCCCACTGATCAGCCAATACGTGCTTTGTGACATGTGTTGTTAACGGAATTTATTGATCAAGATATTTGAGTTTCTGTTTGTCGTGATTCCACTATTCCCACCTCTTTGGCTTCATTAGCTATTTGTGTACTGCCTTTCCATTGTATAATCGTAAATGCCTAAGGAAATTTGTCGAAAAGAGTACTCTTCGCAAAACTGTGTTCTTACATTTCCACGGGTATAATTTACGAGTGAAATTGCATGCTTTCGAAATATGAGGACAGCGTTAAGAGTCTAATAACGCTTGTGGATAGCTTGAATCCTCTGTCAAGACAAGTTGTCAAACTTAATCCAGTTGAATAACTTGAAAAACTTGAAGCAATTCACAAGTCACATGAAAATCCTCAAGTAAGTACAGAGAACATGATATCATTTGGTGAGTAATTGCTTTCAATAATCCATGTTTAGACTATAATAAATATATGTGGGGACCCAAGCGGCAAAATCGGCCCATTTAGTCCAAGTCACACAGATGACGTGTGGGTCACAGTAGGTGACGAAAAAGCAAACTATGCCTTAACCGGTTAATTGCGTGTTACGGAGTTTAACCTCGGGCAGATGAGCCCATTTTCTTCCGTTTTCGGTAACCTCGGAAAGTGAAGAGCCTGGACTAGCTTGCTCTGCATGCATAAGAACGGTTGAAGCAGTCCAATGCGAATTGCTTCGGCCGTCATAATTTTTGATCGGTGCGGGGCAACATTATACACTATTCCATTCCGATTAGATGGTGTCATGCTGTAAACATAATATGTAATAAATTATGCATCGAAATGATAAAACACAAAATCTCTTTGTTCTGTGCACGAAACAGTGTAACCTCATCAGCAAGAAGACCAAATTTACTTACTTACTTACCATCTTTCTTTCGTCCATTTCCGCTGGGCCTCCGGAACCACTACTCCAACAGTCAATGGCTATGTCGTTGAGCGCAGACAGTTGTCCGACCTGGTCTTCTCCGTCGACGGGTATCGCGTTTGCGAACTTGCTGAAGGAAGAGCAAGTCATTAATATCCTTGTGACGTAATCAAACCATTCAAGTGAATCGGCGGCTGCTTGTCCGACACGTGTTAAGGTAAAGGTGAATGAAGGCTAAGGCGATCCTCTTGGTTTTAGGAGGCTGACCACAATGTCCAGTAGCCGTAGTCTTGTCGCATGTCTGATGGTATATCTGTCGTAGCTGATTGCGTTGCGCAACGAACAACCAGCATTGTTGTAGTCGCTTTGCTCTGCTCAGATATTTGGGTCGATGAATGTCGAACCCGTTGCACTCTGTACTATGTTCTATTACTTTAGCTTCTTCGATTCTCCTTTCACAATATGGTTGGAGGGAGAAATGAAAACCGGCTCAACTGTGCCCTCGTTTTAAAACCATGGATAACAGTTCGACTAGAATTTCGGTCTTTAAACGCTTCGAAAGGTGTAGTTCGACCTGTCGAGATAGGGGAATTTATTGGATCCGCTCAGACTTCCGTTTACTAGAAAAAGCCATCTGAGTGTGCACAATGGATTCAAGGGACAGTTCAAGGCGAAAATTTATAAACGGTCGAATGT